CTTCGTGGAAGTTTTTGGTATGAGAATTGGCAAATACCTAAGCTCCTAAGCATCTCTGAACTACTAGAGTCTCCAGAAGAGAGAAAATGTCTTATAGAAGTCAATTATTTTTAAAGTTTTTCTTATTCTTTTTGCTTTAACAGAGAAAACTGGACTTATGAAAATTCTGAGAGAAGCTTTACTAGTCAATTATTATTATTATTATTTGTTATATTTTCCACAAACCATTCTATCTGAACCTATCTATTTATTTATTTATTTATTTATTTATTTATTTATTTTGAGAGGTTTTTCACTCTAGGTCGCGTGCGCTCGCCAGACAGACAGAGAGAGATAGAGAGACAGAAAGCGAGAAATCACCCCCGAGGGGATGGCCACGCCGCAATCCCTTCTCCTCCATTCTCCTCTCGGGATCTTGGGCACGCACGCACACGCGCCCGGCGTGGGTTTTAAGCCACCGGGTCCGTGACGTGAACCACGGTCGACTACGTGGGAGTCCAGCGACATAGCCATTATGCCAACTGCTGGTTCCCAACCTATTTATTTTGAGAGCTACTAAGATATACATTTTAAAATGCTGTTAAAGTGAAACACTTGTTTTTCCACAAGTAACTCCAGTTGAGGGAAAAGATGAAGCATTATGAAAACTAAGTACAACATAGCGTAGGATGGAATTAGCACCTATATTTTTATTTCAGGAGTATAAAGAAGGAAAAAGAGCATATAGAATCAGTATTAGGAGATATAAAATGTTACTTCCTTTATTAAATTCAAAATGACATTCTTTAATACATTTCAAATAATAATTTGCTTAAGTACTTTTTTTTAATATCACAGTAGTTTCAAGTTCACATAAATGGTTGACAGTAATTAATTTGGATAGCTTTATACAAATTCTGAGGTGCTCTTCTATACCTAAAGACTCAGAATCTCCAGAGTAGCACTATAAGTCTGAGTCTAAGTTCATATTGTTATCTAAGAGTCCATTCTCTGTTATGTAAAATCAGAGTTAGAAACCCAGTGCTGTGGAAGTCTTTTTGGTGTTTTTTTTTTTTTTTTTAATAGTAACGCTTTTCACTTCTTGACTATATTAACTAGTGACAGCTTCAGAGGGCAGTTTAAAAGTTATACTTATAACTGCCTAGCCAAGTGCTATCATGTGGTGCTCAGTAAAAATGGTAAAATCTCTTCCACACACACTATATCTGGTATTTACACCCATTTACTGGGTTTGTATATCCTTCGTCCAGTCAGTTTCAGTCATAGAGCGCGGACACTCGGTATATATTAAGTGGGGACATACAATGTCTCTCCTTCATAGCCAGCTATTTTACAGTTTAATCAACTGGACTAGGGAGAAATGTTCCCATTTTGAAATATTCACTTTGTAAGCTAACTAATGTGATTGACTATATAAAAGAAAATGAAATAATAAAAAAAAAGGTAAAAATCTCTTCTCCAGTTTTTGATCCCCAATGCTAAGCACAATGCTAAGGGAATATTTGTCAGAAAATACAAACAAAAGAATAATGCTATAAATTAATGGAATGTAAAAGGCATTTTTGAAGGGTGGCACCCAACATCTTAAGTTCTCTGTGTTTATACCACTCTTTGATTAAACTTAATCACTGAGAGTCCCTTTTACATGCACATAATAGCACATAATATCTATGAATTCTTTTCTTTTCTTTTTCTTTTTTTTTTTCCTGGCTATAGAGTGTGTGCATCCTTCAGAGAGAGAGATAGAAAGAGGAAAAGTGATAAATCAACCCCAGGGGGATGGTTATGCTGCAATTTCTTCTTCTTTATTCTCTTCTCAGAATTTTGGGCACACATGCACATGTGCCTCGGGTGATTATCAAGTAGACAGATCCAGAACTTGAACTATGGTTGGCCATGTGGAAATCCAGGACTTATTCTCGACGTCACCTGCAGACTCATACCGTAAGAGCCTAATAGTTTTTATACATGCAAATGTATACATATGAACTGCAACAGAAAGGTGTGGACCAAGGACCCGTAATTGCAGGGTTTTGTGTTTTATGTAAAGTAGTAAAATTTTAACTCTAAGTTAATTGAGGAAAGTTAGGTGTGAATATTACCATCTATTTATCAGTATCAGATTTTCAGGTGTTGTCAATTTTGTCTCCGAGAAGATAGCTGGCAATTTTCAGACACTTTTGATTGTTACTAGCATCTAGAAGGGATAGGCCAGAAATGCTGCTTAATATCCTGTACTGCACATGACAACCCATGTAGCAAAGTATAAATGTACAGAAAAAGGTAATAGTGTGTCAAGGTTGAGAAACCATGCTCTAGAGCAATCCTGAAAACAAACAAAAAAAAAGAAACAAAAATGGGCTACTCTGTGGTATGGTATTTAAAGCTAGATATCACATACCCAACTGTTCAGTTCAAGTCCTGGCATCTTAAAAAACACTCAGGACACATGTGCATGCATACCCAAAGTCTTGAAAGGAGAATGGAGAATAAAGGATTGCAATGTGACCAACCACCCTTAAGGATGCTTTCTCACTGCCCCACTTCTCTTTGTCTCTCTCCCCAGCAAGTGCATGTGCCCCATGGTAAATTAAACAAAAATAAATAAATAAGAGGAGGCTAGCAGGTGGTATAATGGTAAAGCTCTGGACTTCCACAAGGTCGATGCTGGTTCAGGTCTTGGATCTGAGGACTTGAAAATCACCCTGGATATTTGTGCATTTTGTGCATGTGTATCCAAAATCCCAGGAGGAGAGTGGCAGGGAAGGAATTGCAGCATGGTCATCCTCCTAGGTGGTGATTTTTCACTTTCTCTCTCATTGTCTCTGTCTCTTCAGCAAGCATATATGGCCTATGGCAAAAACTTCAAATAAATAAATAAATAATATACATGACCAAAGCCAATAGATAAATTAAAATCCAATACTAAAATCATAAATTGCAAAATAAGTAGTGCATGTATTGATTAGATAGATTTAGTTATTTCACAATGCCTATAACATCATGTTGTATATGATAAATATATACAATTATATTTGTCAATTTACAAATAAAGAAATAAGGAATCACCAATTAAAATGAAGCAAAAACAAAACAAGAAATGAAAATTTATGGAAAACAAATCTTAAAATAGTTGACCTGAATTCAACCATATGGCTAATTACATTAAGTGGAAATGGTCTAAATTCCTCAATTTAAAAGAGATGTAATGAAATTAAATAAAAAACAATCCAAATACCTGTTGTGTATAAAAATCCAATGTATAGAGACCAGCAGATAGTGTAATGGTTACATCTCTGGACTCCCATGTACTGTTTGAGTCCTGCATCCAGTGGCTTAAACTCACGCTGGGTGCATGTGCGTGTGTTCCCAGAATCCTGAGAGGAGAATGGAGGAGAAGAGGTTGCAGCGTGGCCATCCCCCCTGGGGACTGATTTCTTACTGTTTTTCTGTCTCTCTCTCTCTCTCTTTATGGCAAGTGCACGCACCCTACAGCAAAAACCTCTCTCTCTCAAAAAAAAAAAAAATCCAATGCTCATATAAAAATATATATCTATTAAAAAGATTAAAAGTTGTCTTAAAACACTATTTAAGAGAAAGTTGAAATGGCTCAATTGACATGAAACATGGTGATATTCAGAATAATGACTACTGCCAAGGATAAAGTTGGACATTATATAATAATAAAATACTTAATTTACCAGGAAGATATAGTCATATAAATTCATAAGTTTCAAATTACATGAAGAAAAACTGATAAAATTGAAAGGAGATGGAACCTCATTCATGTTTCTATGTAGAGGATTCACAATTCCTCTTTCAGTATCTAATAGTATAATTAGAGGGAAAATCATAAATTACATGATGTGAGATAAGGGTAAAGAATTGATTAGAGTTAAATTTATAGCACTGACAAACACCAGGAAAAATTACAAAATAAGTGTACATTACTTACCTTTATTTACAACTTTTCTTTTTTGGCTGTAAGTTACAATAAGGGAAGTAAATTGGCTTGTTTGTTTGGTTTTTGCTATAGGTAATGTGCACTTGCCAGAGAAAGAGAGAAATCAACCTCCAGCAGAGGATGGGCACACCGCAATCTCTTCTCCTCCGGTCTCCTCTTGGGATTTTGGGTGTACATCCAAATTCCCCTGGTGTGATTTTTAAACCATCAGGTTTGGAACTCAAACCACACAGCTGGAAATACGGGATCCAGTGCCTTAATCTCCAAAACACCTGCTGGTCCAAATTTGCTTGTTTTGCTAAATATTTATAGCATTAACAGATAAAAGCAAATATTTATGTTATGATTCTCTTACATGTTTCAAAAATAACAGTTTCTGGTTCCTTGGAATTTTTTATATGTTTGAAACATAGTCTGTACCAGCAGTGTAAAGAATTCACAGGTGAGTCACATACATTCTCAAGGGAGTCCTTAAACTGAACTCTCCTCCTTAAATGCAAAATGGAAGCCTTATGCCTGCCACTTTTTCTCTTCCTAATTCTCACTACTTCTCTGTTATAGTTATGGTGAGAGTATAAATAAAATGAAAACTGATTCTCGGGTTATCATCTGGATTATGAGAGAATCTACTATTTAAAATTTCTCCAAAAGAATATAAATAATAGCAACAAAAAACAGGCACACACAAAAAGATATTCTTGTTACCTTGCAAGAAAATCTAATAAGTATGCTTCATAAAGACATTTTAAAAAATGCCTAGAGAAGGATCGATACTGAAATAATCTTACCATCACTAAGTACTTAGTACACTAAAAAGAATTCTAGACACTTGGTAATTATTAATTGATGCCATAAATATTACAGTATCTGTTTTACAGATGCCATGATAGTTTAGATAAATCCTGTATAACTTTATAACACAAGTAAATGGAATAATAAGATGATAATTTCTGGTTTTCTGATGCTAGAATAAAAAAAAAGGTATCAAAGAATTATAGGAGAGTATCAATAAATAGAGAACAGGGACCAAGGATTTTCAGTTAATATGAACCATGAAAAATTTTAGAACACATTCTCGAATTTGTTTGGTTTTTACTCCATAGATAATTGGATTCAGCATAGGAGGCACCAGTAAGTACATATTGGCCAGAAGGATGTGGATGTGGCGTGGTATATGCTTACTAAAACGGTGAGTGAGGAAGGAGAAAAGAGCAGGGATGTAGAAGGTGAGGATGACACAAACATGGGACCCACAAGTGCTGAGTGTCTTTAACCTGGCATCTTTAGAAGGAAGACTGAACACAGTACGGAGTATCTGTACATAGGACAGAGAGATGCATGTCACATCAGTCCCAACAATTAAGATAATTACTGCCAAGCTATAAAGACTATTGACAGAAATGTCTGCACATGCCAATTTTACCACAGCCATATGCTCACAGTATGTGTGGGGAACCACATTTGTCCTGCAATATGGCCACCTCCCTACCAGGAAGGGATGTGGTGTCATTAGTACTAACCCACGTAGAAGTACCACTGTTCCAACCTGAGCAACAGCAGAATTTGTGAGAATGGATGAATGTCTTAGAGGGTTGCAGATCGCCACATAGCGGTCCAATGCCATGGCTAAAAGGAGCCCTGACTCCACTCCAGAGAAAGCATGAATGAAAAACATCTGAGTGAGACAGGCATGGAAGTCAATCTCATGATAATTGAACCAGAAGATACCCAGCATCTTGGGAAGAGTAGAGGTTGACAAGATGAGATCTGTGATGGCCAACATGGAAAGAAAATAGAACATGGGTTCATGGAGAGCAGTCTCAGTTTTGATGATGAAAAGGATGAGCATGTTTCCCATGAGAGCAATAACATACATTGAGCAGAAAGGGATGGATATCCAAATGTGCAAGTCTTCCAGACCAGGTATGCCCATGAGGATGAAGGTGCTGGGATTGGTGAATGCAGTAGAGTTAGGGCCCAGCATGGCAATTCTGGCTACAGGAAGAAATACTCTTGCCTCTTCTCTGCCTTTGTCCTTGGAGTAGACAAATGCACATACTTTCTTCTAAAGCTGAAATAGAATTACTCAGTGTGAAAGCACTTGGAGGAAAGATTATTCATATTTTGAGTTACTTCTTAATGAGATACTTTGTGAATTAAAAGTTTTACCTCCCTTATTGTCAGTTACTAATCTTATTTAGGAGTAATTGGAGATTAGGCAATCGTCTCTGTTTATATCCCAGCCTTAGGCTCAGAACTTCTAAATTAATCTACGTGATACTCGGTGTCCTCAATTTACTGTAATAGCAAAACTTAGCAAAGTCCTGATTAGTAATACAGGCCCTTGATATCCTTACAATGCAATGAAGAAAATCTATAATACTGTCCTTATTCAAAGGTACACTCCAAAGTCATTATAATTTCAGAGACCTTAAACATGAGGTAAATTTTAGAAAGATATTTGTGACAACACATAAAAAAGATAATAAGTTTGACAATACCTTCTAAAATTTGCCTCGTCAAATTTTTGGACATAGAGGAAACACAGTTTAATCACTCAAGTGATAATATAGTTTCATGATAATTGCTGGAAAATAACAAAGTCATTCGCACTTACAATCCCCAAAATAAACCTGCCTCTTGAATTATTTAGTACCTCAGTAAGAAAGAAAATTCTATACACATCTAATCATAAATACATCTCAAAAGGATTTTTTTTTCCAGTCTAATTTATACTGAGATGCTAGTTGAGGCACTTGGGGGAAGAAAGGTCAATAAGTTTTAAATCAAGTAATCAATTCATTAACCAATCAACAAGATTTAAAAATAGCAAGATTTTCTACTTTCTTGTGACAAAATAATGCACCAGAAACAAAATACTAAGAGTTATTTAATATAGAGTTATCATTGACTATCAGTTCTGGTTAGGTTACTATTATTATTTTTAATTTATTATAATAGAAAAATGCATTCATTAATATTCATCCATCTGGTAGAAGGAGAAAATGAATCCCAGATTCTTTCCATAGCTCTGATTTTGGCCCAACACAATCTGCAGTCAAAATAAAGCAAGTACAGGGTCCAGTGGGTGGCATGGAGGTTTAGGCACTGAAATCTCACATGGCCCACTGCATGGTTCAAGTCCAGAATGACTGGCTGCAAAATCATGATAGGTGTATGTGTGTGCATTCCCAAAATCCTGAGAGAAGACTGAAGGAGAAGGGATTTGTAGCATAGCCATCCCTGCTGGGAGATGATTTCTCACTTTCCCTCTATCTCTCTGTGTCTCTCTCTCTGGTGAGCACAATGTTCTATAGAAAAAAAACTTAAAAAAAAGAAGATTAAAATTAAAATCAAAGCAATCAAAGCTTTTACATCCATCAAAGCCATATGTACATATTTGTTTTTATTTTATAAATCAAATTTTATGGGTTATTAAGAAGACTTTCAGCAAATTCTAAACTTGTTCTACTTTGACATCTGAGTTGATGCCAATATGTACATTGTGAAACTACTGGCCATTAGTGATATTTATTAATAAATCGTTTTTAAGTGTATGCCTGCTTATACTTCCTTTCCCAAAGTTTATGCCAGTTGACTAATTGACTACAAATTCTGAGAAGTACTGAGGAAAACCTCAAGAGTATGCTGATCTAACTTCATAAGCTGTTTGTTTAATTCAAGTGGAAAGACTACACTGATTTACCTTCAAAAATGAAGCATTCCAAGATGTCTCTAACTTGTCTTCAGAGGGATACGATTGTCTGCCTCTATTGTAGGTACTCAGTCCATTTTCAGCATAGCTGAGTCTCAGGTACCGATGATAATTCTGAGTACATATTTCCCAGCTATAGGAAGCTCCTCCTCATTTCTGTCATCATTGCCTCTCCCTTTGGGGGCTTGAGCAGACACAGGGATTGTCTATTCCTCCCAATTGTTCTGTGCTGAATCAAAGCCAGGAGCTCAGGTTTACAACTCCATTTGTGGCTGTCCCAGGGGCTTCAACTCTGTAACAGTGGTTTCTTCATCTTGAAGTATAAATGATTCTTGAGAGATTACTCTTGCTTTTTCATTATATATTATCAATAGGTATTCAATTTTTTAGAGTCTAAAGGAACTTTAAAAGAAACAATTTTTTCAAAGTTCTATGCCTCTGATCACCACACTAGATCAGTTAGAATTAAAGATGTAGCTTATATACCTCTTTCAAATCCCTCTGGTTTAACATAAAGCTTTATTTTTCTGCAACTATCGATAATACTTGATGTATTTTGAAGTCTTTATGATAAATTAATTAAAATGCTGAAATTTACATGAATGATCTCATTTATTCCCAAAGCCTTTTTAGTGTAGTAGTAGTATAATCTCTTATTTACAAATGCAAAATAAAATTCAAACCTAAAACACACAGATATTACACAATGTGCTCAAAATTAAGCAACTAGAAAAAGTTGAATTTAAGATTTGAACCAAATGCAGATGTGTATTTATATTCATATTTTATGGCATTTTTAAAAGTTAGGTTGTTTATCTTTTTATTGTAATGTTCTAAGTATTTTTTTTTTTTTTTTGGAGAGGTTTTCACCATAGGGCGAATGCTCACGCCACAACAGAAAGAGACATAGAGACAGAAAGCGAGAAATCACCCCCCAGGGGGGATGGTCACGCCGCAATCCCTTCTCCTCCATTCTCCTCACAGGATCCTGGGCACGCACACACATGCGCCCAGCGTGAGTTCTAAGCCACCGGGTCCGGGACGCGAACCGCGGTCGACTACATGGGAGTCCAGCGACCTAGCCATTACGCTAACTGCTGGTTCCCTAAGTATTCTTAATAGATGCTATACATGTATTAAATATATGGTTTATAAGGACTTTCTCTCATACCCTTGGTTGTCATTTAAGTTTCTGTATGTTTTAGGGTTTTTGTTTTTGTTTTGTTTTGCATTTGTAAATAAGAGATTATACTACTACTTTACTAAGAAAGCTTTGGGAATAAATGACATTATTCACATAACCCTATTGTTTCTGGAGTCATTGGTTCTAATTTATGCAACATTTCTAAAAATGAATTTCTTTTACTCACATTTAGTAAATGAATAATAAAGTTCGTAATATGAAAAATCTTTGAATGGAGTTTAAAGAATAAAGAAGAATGTTTTATGGCTTTGTTTCTACAACATGGTAGGGAAATAGAAAGTATTATTGCCAAACAAAGCTGTAGGTGAGAGTATATATTCTAAGAGAAATACTAATATAGTTTGACTGGGGAATCAAGGTATAGGTTCTTACTTCCAAGCTGGTCCTAAGTTAAACCACATACTCTCAAAATCCCATACTGCTATAAGCAAGGACATCTCATCTTACTGTTTCTAATTTAGTGTATCTTTGGATAATATGCAAGATTGTGCATATAAAAGAAGAGCATATTGAGAATATTTGATTCCTATTCTTTACACCTTTTACTGGTAATATCATCCTTAATAAAACAACAATAGACTGAGTAGTAAAATAATTGTGAAAAGACAGGAGAAAGAGAGAAAGAAGAAACCAGACATTTTCTTCCATGAGTCAGACAGTAGCAGGGGACTGCTTTAGCTAGACTTACTCCATCTTGTGTTGCATCCAGATTGATGATAACTTATTAATTGAATTGTTTTTTCTTTTCCTGTGATTGATATTCTTTCTTTGAGATCTCTTGGAAGTTGTAAGATAAATATCACAGACAGTCAGCCTAAAGCTCAGAATAATGAAGAATGTTCTGCTCAGGGAACTGGAACTCTTATTTTGAAGCTTGTTTGTACCTCCAGCTAAAAATGAACTGTACCTGGAGCCAGTCAGGTGGTGTGGTAGTTAAGGCAGTTGGGTCCCACATGGCCAGCATGCCAGGGTAAAATGGACTTCAGCAAATTTCAAATGTTTTGTGCTTCAGAGTACCCTATAAAGAAACTTAAATGACAACCAAGTAAATAAGAGAAAATCTTTATAAAGCATATATTTAATACATGTATAGCATCTATATTAAGGACACCTCGAACATTATAATAAAAAGATAAACACAATTTTTAAAAAGGCCATAAGATATGAATACACATACACATCTGCATACATAAACACACACACACATACACACAAAATTGATAGACTTTTTAATCTGCCTGGCTCTGAAGTAAAGATCCACTTACTTCTTATATGTGAGGACAAATTTATGAGCAGTTTTCTTGTCTTAAAAATCTGTCCAAAGAACCTGCGGAGACTCACATCAACAGACATTAATCGTGCTAAAGCTGATCACTTTGGTCTAGTGATTATAGGAAACTCCCTATATCCTGACTCTGGCATAGCTTTACATGAGGAATAACAAGGCCTTCTTATTTCTGTTAATGTTAGACTTAGATATCTTTCCCTGCTATCTTTGAGACTCTTTAAACATATTTTGCATTTTAGCCAGTTACTGGCTAAACCCTTGCACCTGCACAGTCCCACTTCTAGATGCTTTGCCTCTTTAGGATAGGGAAGTGTAAAATGACCATTGTTGATTTAGTTCTTCATGCGTCTCCTGCTCCCAGTACTAACTAGGAAGCTGCTGGACATAAGCACCCAGGAGCACTTTCCCAAGCTAATTGAGCTTGTGTTTCCTGGTCAGTGGACCATATGGTTCCATACAAGGGTCAGAGTAAGCCTTTAAAAAAATCTTAAAGTTTATTATTTTCATGGACAGATATCTTAGATAGCCACTTCTAGTACCAGAAAGTTGGAAAACAGCCGCCATTGTCAGTCCCATCTGTGCTATGTTCTCTACTTTCCGGAGCTGGCGGAGGAGCCCTTTCTGTAATGGAAGCAAGGTCTGGATTGACTTCCAACCTGCATGGAGTTTTGCCTGTCTATGTGGTTGTCTTATAATCAGAGGACCACTCATAAAACTAGGTATAGCTCTCTTGTGATTCATTGTTGGATTTACTTTGAGGAGACTCTTCACTGTAGT